CCACTGTACTCCAGCCTGGATGACAGAGTGAGGCCCTGTCTCAAAAAAAAAAAAAGTAAAATAGTCTTTTTTTATGCTGCGTCTTTCAGTTTATGATTCAGAAAAAGTATCACATGAACAAGAGGCCTTTAGGAATCTTCAAGGCTAAATTTCCCTCAAAGATTGTTTAGCCGTTGCTAACTTCAAGGTCTTTACCTTGTGGCTGCCTGCTGATCTCTCTAAGGTGGAGAATGCAGACTGATCAGCGAGCGCTGCGTTACACTTGAGAGGATTCTTAACTCTGATTTGCACTGATGGAAAGATTCTAAAGATTCTTTTAGTCTTTCTTGGCCTCTATATATTCCACTTCATTCAGACATTCCTTTTGGGGGAAAGCAGCACGGGATGTGGAAAGAGTGAGTTTTAGACATTTCTCAAATCCACATAACACTATTTATTTCTATTTTTCATTATTTATTTATTATTATTATTTTTTTTTGAGACAGTTTCGCTCTTGTCACCCAGGCTGGAGTACAATGGTGTGATCTCGGCTCACTGCAACCTCTGCCTCCCAGGTTCAAGTGATTCTCCTGCCTCAGCCTCCCACGTAGCTGAGATTATGGGCACGCGCCACCACGCCCAGCTAATTTTTGTATTTTTAGTAGAGATGGGGTTTCACTATGTTGGCCAGGCTGGTCTTGAATGCCTGATCTCAGGTGATCCACCCACCTTGGCCTCCCAAAATGGTGGGATTACAGGTGTGAGCCACCGTGCCTGGCTACTTACTGAGACATGTTCTTACTCTGTTGCCCAGGCTGGTGTGCAGTGGCATAATCATGGCTCACTGCAGTCTCGACCTCAGGCTCAAGTAGTCCTCCCATCTCAGCTTCCTGGGTAGCTGGGACCACAGGTGCACGTTGGCTGCACCTAGCTGGTTTTATTTTTTGTACAGACGAGATCCCACTATATTACCCAGGCTGGTGTCAAACTCCCAGGCTCAAGTGATCCTCCTACTTTGGCTTTCCAGAGTGCTGGTATTACAAGTGTGAGCCACCATGCCTGGCCAACACTATTAACCGTGATAATGGACAAGTTACTAAGTTTTCTCATTAGTAAAATAGCGATAACAAGACCAGTTTCCATGGAGTTGTTAAGAAGATTAAAGATTATGTTTGCAAAGTGTATAGCATGATTCTTTAATACTTTTATCTTTCCAGACCACTCAGCTGCAGAACCCTAAGCTCTGATCAGTTCATGCATGTGCCTTTTCTTTGCTTCTGCATCCTGGCTACTAGGTTTTACCACTAGAAATTTGTGGTTCATTATCTTAGCTGAGATCTCAGAGCCATCTAGCAGTCATTCTATGTGATGTTAGTCAGTTTTCTTTCTGTCCTCTGCAGAGGGCAAAATTGTTGGCCCAGAAAAACTTGGTTTTGTTTTGTTTTCCTTGAGATCGTTTTTCAAATGTTGGGATTGGTTGTAAAGATTTAAAAATTAGGAGATTTCAAATAAAAGTTAAAATGTCCAGCTTCTCTTGAAAAACTGGATGATCTGAAAACCGGAGTGCCATGGTAGTCATTGGCTTTTCCTATGACACAGGCCGTCTTTTCTAGTTTGCCATGTATGACTTGTGTTGGTCCAGTAGACCCAGTATGTTTCTTTCTATGATCTCTGTGGGCATTTACTTTTTGTTTTTGTCTTGTAGATTCTACCTCCTTAAAATCCCTCAAACTCTTCAGTTAATGTGTTATTAAAAATTTTTTAATTAAATAAAATTATTTTAATACAATTTAAAATTATTTGAATTACATAAAATCTGTTCCTTTCTCTCTATACTAAAGGCCCTCCTCCTTTCTTACCTGGAGTACTGGAATAGTGTTTCAACCCACCTCCTTATCTCTAGGGTTCTGTCTCTCTGGTCTGTCTTCATAGTACAGGTGGCTTCACCTTAGAGAGGTACTGGCCAGATCGTGAACTAGAATAGCACACCTCTACTATGTGCTATTCTAGTTCACGATCTGGCCAGTACCTCTCCAGGCACTCAACCTCTCTGGGCCTCAGTTTCCTCCAGTGGAACACGGGGGAAATAATTCTTGCCAGTAGAGTTATAGTGAGGATTAAATTTAAAATCCTTATAAAATAGTGATACAGTATTTGACACTTAGTATGTTCAGTAAATACTAGCTGTTAGTAATATGATAATGCCATATTTTCATTTATGTTTTTCTGGACCCAGACCTTCATTCATATTTGCTGTCTCTTCTACCCTGAATGTCTTTACCTGTCTTCTCCTTGACTGAAATTCATCCTTTAGGATGCAGTTTATGTGTTACCTGCTCCTAGATACACTTCCTGACCCTCCATAATCCCATGGCAGCTGTGCATCTGGTAGCATGCTTGGCACATTGCAGTGAAGCTCTCTCTCTCTTAGCTTTATTGAGGTATAATTGACAAATTAAAATTGTTTATATTCGAGATATGTAATGTAATGTTTTGGTATACATATACATTGTAAAGTGTTTACCACCATCAAGCTAATTAATACATTTTATCACCCCCATACAAATGTCTAACAAATACCTTAAAAGTTCCTCAGTATCACTAACCATCAGGGAAATGCAAATCAAAATCACAATGAAGGCGTCTCATTTCTTACCACTCTCCTCTTCATTTAGACTCATAAGCCCTTTGAAGACAGGAATTATCTTACTCATACTTGTATCCCCAGTGACCAGCAATGGTCTAGGTATCGTAAATGCTTGACAAATTAGGCCAGGTGTGGTGGCTCATGCCTGTAATCCCAGCCCTTTGGGAGGCTGAGGCAGGCAGGTCACTCGAGGTCAGGAGTTTGAGACCAGGTGCTTGGCCACCATGGTGAAACTCCATATCTAATAAAAACATAAAAATTAGCTGGGTGTGGTGTTGTACCCCTATAGTCCTTGCTACTCAGGAGGCTGGGGCAGAAGAATTGCTTGAACTTGGAAGGTGGAGTTTAGAGGAGCAGAGATTCGCCACTGCACTCCAGCCTAGGTGACACAGCAAGACTTAATCTCAAAAAAAAATTTTTTTTTGACAAATTAATAAATGGTGCTGGATGGCACCATTTATTAGTCAATATTAATATTAATATTGACTAATATTAACTACTGTTATGATTAGGGAATTTAGAAGATGTGCCATAAAGCTAAAAGTTAATCTGTCATTTCAGATTTATGTAGTGGTGAAAACTTTTCTTTAGTTATTATGAGTTTTTTCTAAAATGAAATAGCTTTATTATTATTTTTTACCGTTAAGCGATACGTGCCTTTTTTTTTTTTTTTTTTTTTTTTTTTTTTTTTTTTTTGAGACAGAGTCTTTCTCTGTTGCCCAGGTTGGAGTGCAGTAGTGCAGTATCGGCTCCCTGCAACTCCACCTCCCAGGTTCAAGCAATTCTCCTGCCTCAGCCTCCCAGGTAGCTGGGATTACAAGCACCTGCCACCATGCCCGGCTAATTTTTTTTTTTTTTTTTTTTTTTTTTTGTAGTTTTAGTAGAGATGGGGTTTCACCATGTTGACCAGGCTGCTCTCAAACTCCTTACCTCAGGCAATCCACCCACCTCAGCTTCCCAAAGTGCTGGGATTACAGGCATAAGCCACCACGCCTGGCTGAGCCACCACATCTGGCTACATGCCTTTTTAAAAAATGGGGAAAAAAATTAAAAGTATAACAAAGTCTCACTCCTTGGAAATAACTACTGTTATAAAGTGCTTTTAAATGTATAAGCTTAAATGTGTGCTACTTAATTTTCCTGCTTAAAGTTTCCCCTTAAAAGAATTATGTTTTAACAAATAGCATTAAGACATCCAATTTAATATAATTAAGCCACTATTTTTGTGTTCCACATTGCAAAGTAGCTTCCAGTCTTAAGTGACGAAATGTGCCTTCTACTAAGACAGTCATGTGCTCTAGAAAAGAAGGCTGAGATCCAGGCTGTTAAATTACCATGGAATTCCCTTGCTTTGTATGTGGGCATTTGCTTACCAATGTATGCCCTTTCTTCTGTGCTGGTAGGCCATTCTCTGGTAATAGAGCAGCTTTAGCAGAAGCACTAACGCTAAGGATGTAGAGGAAAGGAGTAATCATTTATAGAAGCCAAGGATATCTCTTTTTTTTTTTTTAGGAGAAATTTCTTCTTTTTTTTTGTTTGTTTCTTGAGACAGGGTCTTGCTCTTCCCAGTAGCTGGGACTAGAGGTGTGCATCACCACACCTGGCTAATTTTTGTATTTTTTGTGTAGATGGGGTTTTGCCATGTTGCCTAGGCTGGTCTCTAACTCTTGAGCTCAAGCGATCCTCCTGCCTTAGCCTTCCAAAATGTTGGGACTGCAGGCGTGAGCCACCACGCCTGGCCAGGAAGTTCTGGTTTGTTTTCTGTGTTTTGCTTCCACTCTACCTAACCATTGACATAATTAACATGAAATTTGCAGGAATAGCTCTCCTGGCTTTTCTTCTTTAGGCATTCCTTTTTTTTCTGCTGTCCTTGTATCATATGTCCTAATTTTATTCTCCACCCACAACCCTTCCCTATCAAATTTGTTTTTATAGAAGAAATGTGTTTTTATATATCTTTGTCACTCTTGTATAATCTTCTGATAATTGTCTACTTTCATTTTTGTGACATGTCCCTCTACAGGGAATGATACTAGTCTGCATTCTATAAAGTGAGTTTTTGCAAATAAATCCAATGTATATAACTTGGAGCATTGACTAGATTAACTTTTTGGTATGGTAAGACATCCTATAGCAGCAACAGATTTTAGCCCACAATGTGATTTGAATGAGTATTTGAATGAATGAAATTTGCTTTATTTGGATTTAATCTTCTAATCCAGTTTTTGTCTTTCGTGTTGGTCAGAACATAGTCATCATAATGACTATCAATTGTCTTTCATCGATAGTGTCTCTGTCTCCCCAGTTTCTGTGAATTCTCTTCCTGAGTGTTATTTGCTGCCTATGCCTATTCTTACTACTTATCTTATTTTAGATCACAGATTCTGCTGGCCATATTCTCTACTCCAAAGAGGATGCAACCAAGGGGAAATTTGCCTTTACCACTGAAGATTATGACATGTTTGAAGTGTGTTTTGAGAGCAAGGGTGAGTAACCAGAGTGTTTCCCTGGATTAAAAATCTTCTCCAACTCTAGTGCTCCTTATTACAGTCAGCACTTAATATCTAGTTTCCTTTGTATGTTTATTCTGATTTGGACACCTGTTACCTTGCAGTCTTTGGAGCACCTTTTAAAAGGTCGAGCACCTTTTAAAAGGTCATCTAAGTGGAATAAAAGATTGAATAGGTGGAACAAGAGAATTTTTAGGGCAGTAAAAATATTCTGAGGCCGGGCGCGGTGGCTCAAGCCTGTAATCCCAGCACTTTGGGAGGCCGAGGCGGGTGGATCACGAGACGAGGTCAAGAGATCGAGACCATCCTGGTCAACATGGTGAAACCCCGTCTCTACTAAAAATACAAAAAATTAGCTGGGCATGGTGGCGCATGCCTGTAATCCCAGCTACTGAGGAGGCTGAGGCAGGAGAATTGCCTGAACCCAGGAGGCGGAGGTTGCAGTGAGCCGAGATCGTGCCATTGCACTCCAGCCTGGGTAACAAGAGCGAAACTCCGTCTCAAAAAAAAAAATATTCTGTATGGTACTGTAATAGTAGATTCATGTCATTATATGTTTGTCCAAACATTACATTTGGAATGTACACCAAGAGTGAATCCTAATATAAACTATGGGCTTTCGTTGATAATTATGTGTCCATGTAGGTTCATCATTTGTAACAAATGTACCACTCTGGTGAGAGATGATGATAATGGGGGAGGCTATGCATGTGTAAGGGGAGGGGGGATATGGGAAATCTTTGTACCTTCCTCTCAGTTTTGTTGTGAACCTAAAACTGCTCTAACAAAATGAAGTCAAAAAAAAAAAAAAAAAGAAAGCTGGGCACAGTGGCTCACACCTATAATCCTAGCACTTTGGGAGGCCAAGGCGGGCATATCACTGAAGGTTAGGAGTTTCAGACCAGCCTGGCCAACATGGTGAAACCCTGTCTCTACTAAAAATACAAAATTAGCTGGGTGTGATGGCTCATGCCTGTAATCCCAGCTACTCGGGAGGCTGAGGCAGGAGAATCACTTAAACCCAGAAGGTGGAAGTTGCAGTGAGCAAGATTTTGCCACTACACTCCTGCCTGGGCAACAGAGTGAAACTGTGTCTCAAAAAAATAAACAACAGCAATAGCAAAAAACAAAACTGGCTGAGCATGGTGACTCATGCCTGTAACCCCATGCACTTTGGGAGGCCAAGGCAGGCAGATTACCTGAGGTCAGGAGTTCAAGACTAGGCTGGCCAACATGGTGAAACCCCATCTCTACTAAAAATACAAAAAATTAGCTGGGTGTGGTGGCACATGCCCGTAATCCCAGCTAGGATTACGGCTGAGGCAGGAGAAGTGCCTGACAGTTCTCTGTGCAAAAGACTATATAGACTTGACTCTGACCATTCTGAGAAATAGTTGTTAGGTGATTTTGTTGTGCATATATCAAGTATACTTACCCAAGCCTAGATGGTATAGCCTACTCGGCAATATACCCACCTCGGCTATATTGCTTCTAGGCTACAAACCTGTACAGCATGTGACTGTACTGAATGCTGTAGGCCATTGGAACACAATGGTACTTGTGTATCTAAACATAGCAAAGATTTAGTGAAAATACAGTATTATAATAATCTTATGGGACCACCTTCATATATGCAGTTCATCCTTCACTGAACTGTCTTTGAGCAGTGCATGACTGTCCTGTGCTGTGACAAACAGGGAGGTAGTTGGAAGCCTGTAAGTAAGAAGACAGCCTGATCATTTGGACCAGGTGGGGCTGAGAACTGCTTGGGTTTCACAACTTTTTCAATGAGGAAGGAAAAGCAAAAATTTGTATTACATCTTCTGTGGGCAATGTCATAATCAGGATTACACATCGGATTTGGGAGAACAGAACACTCTGGATACCACGTTTTGTTTGGAGATTTGTTGTTTTCATGCTCAGAAGACATCCAGTGACTTGTCTTACTTTGTTCTCAATCTTACCCTGTGCAGTCTTATTTATATTTCTCTTGCTTTCAAATTAATCTTTCCAGTCTATCCAAAATTTTTTTTTTTTGGGGGGTTTTTTTTGTTTTTTTTTTTGAGACAGAGTTTCACTCTTGTTACCCAGGCTGGAGTGCAATGGCACGATCTCAGCTCACTGCAACCTCCGCCTCCTGGGTTCAGGCAATTCTCCTGTCTCAGTCTCCCGAGTAGCTGGGACTACAATTTTTTTTGCATTTTTAGTAGAGACGGGGTTTCACCATGTTAACCAGGATGGTCTCGATTTCTTGACCTCGCGATCCACCCGCCTCGGCCTCTCAAAGTGCAGGGATTACAGGCATGAGCCACCGTGCCCGGTCCCCAAAAGATTTCTTTTTAAAAATTTATTTTAACCCAGCAATATTCTTGGATTTTTAAAAAAATATTCTATTTTATTTTATTTTATTGAGACAGAGTTGCTCTGTCACCCAAGATTAAGTGCAGTGGCACTATCTTGGCTCACTGCAACCTCCACCTCCCAGGTTCAAGCAATTCTCCTGCCTCAGCCTCCTGAGTAGCTGGGATAATAGGTGTGTGCTGCCACGTCCGTCTTACTTTTTTTGTATTTTTAGTAGAGATGGGGTTTCACCATGTTGATCAGGCTGGTCTGGAACGCCTGACCTTGTGATCCGCCCACCTCAGCATCCCAAAGTGTTGGGGATTACAGGTGTGAGCCACCACACCTAGCCAACTTTTGTATTTTTAGTAGAGATGGGTTTCGCCATGTTGGCATGGCTGGTCTCAAACTCCTGACCTCAAGTGATCCACCTGCCTCAGCCTCCCAAAGTGCTGGGATTACAGGTATGAGCCACTGTGCCCAGTCCAAAAGAAGTTCTTTACTGTCTTTCAAACATGCCACACTCCGATTTTAATTTCTGAGCCTTTGCTCATGCTTTGCCATCTGCCTAGAGTACTTTGCCTAAGCCCTGCCTTTAGGTGTTCCTTCTTTAGTGAAGTCTGTCCACAACTACTGTCTTCCCTCCTCTTACCTTTGCTCCATATTGGGATTGTCTGAACCAATTCCTTTGGCTTAAAATTTTACATTGCTTTGAATTTTCATCATAGCTGTTTTGTATATGTGTCTTAAATCCCAATTGAATTATTTAAAGGCAGGGATTGTATCCTGGCTTAGTCCATGTTGTGCTGCTGTAACAGAACATCACAGACTGAGTAATTTATAAACAGTAGAAATTTATTTGGTTTATGGTTCTGGAGCCCGGAAAGTCCAAGATCAAGGGGCCACATCTGGTGAGGGAGGGTCTTCTTGCTGTGTCACAATAACATGGCAGAAGGTATCACATGGCGAGACAATGCACAGGAGAGCAAGAGGAGGCTGAACTCACTTTTATAACAAACCTACTCTTATGATAATGACATTAATTGATTGATGAGGGCAGAGTCCTCATGACTTAATCAGTTCTTTTTTTGAGATGCAGTCTCGCTTGTCACCCAGGCTGGAGTGCAGTGGTGAAATCTTGGCTCTCTGCAGCCTCCACCTTCTGAGTTTGAACCATTCTCCTGCCTCAGCCTCCTGAGTAGCTGGGACTACAGGCACCCACCACCATGGCTGGCTAATTTTTGTATTTTTGGTAAAGACAGGGTTTTACCATGTTGGCCAGGATGGTCTCAATCTCCTAACCTCATGATCTGTCCGCCTCGGCCTCCCAGAGTACTGGGATTACAGGCGTGAGCCACCACACTGGGCCCGACCTAATCAGTTCTTAAAGGTCCTACCTCTTGTTCAGGCACAGTGGCTCAGGCCTGTAATCCCAGCACTTGGGGAGGCTGAGGCAGGAGGACCACTTGAGCCCAGGAGTTCCAGACCAGCCTGGAAAATATAGCAAGACCCTGTCTCTACAAAAAATATAAAAATTAGCTGGGTGTGGTGACTCACGCCTGTAGTCCCAGCTACACGAGAGGCTAAAGCAGGAAGATCACTTGAGCCCAGGAGTTCAAGGCTACAGTGAGCCATGATGATGCCACTGCATTCTAGCTTGGAGGACAGAGCAAGAACCTGTCTCAAAAAAAAATTTTTTAATAAGTATATAAAATTAAAGGTTCTACCTCTCAACACTCTTGCATTGGGGATTAAGTTTCCAACACATGGACTTTGAGAAGGATGCATTTAAGCTGTATCCTATCCCTTTAAAATCTCTAGCACAGTTCTAGTACTTAGTGAGTTATCAATGAGTAGTTACTGAGTTGACTTCAGTTCATTTCCGAAAACTTCCAGTGCCTCTCAGGCATCAGAGGGTACAGTACCATTCATTGTGGCTTATGGTCTCAGGAACCCCAGTGCTTAAGTGGCACTATGCTTCCTAAAACTTCTAATTTCATGCAGGTAATTTTAAATTTTATAACTAGGTGAATTCCAGGGCATGGGGCTGAACAGTTTTCTGGAGCTCTTTGGATCTTTTCCTTTCTCATACTTGATGATTTAAGATTAGAATGCCTCTTCGATCCAGCTGAATCAGATTGACTTTTCTAACATGAACTCTATTATAAGAATCATCCCTAAGATTTGAACTCTTATTGTAAAGTTTGTTTTCCCCTTGAGCTGTTGTAACTCTTTTAAGGGCTTAGTGGGAATAGCTCTATAACATTTTATTCATCTGCTGAAATAAGGGATACATTGATCACAATGTTTGAGTGGAATATTAGATAAAACTTGTGCTCTTTTCAGTGCTCAGATTTATATTAAGTAAATCCAAGCTTAGCACATATCCAATAATCCTAATTCATCATGGCCTTTCCTCAAAATTTGACAGGGCAACCTTTTCAGATATGGAAATAGGCATTTTCAGCCCAAGTTAGTGCCCACTATCTCTTGATTTATATGCCAATCAATTTCACACAGTTTTGATTTTTGAGTTTTATTTCTCAATTCAATAAGCCTGTGTGTTTTCTCTTCTGCTGTTCTGTTCCTCTGTAGCAGTTGCAGTATCTTGTGTCCTTGCCTGCTCAGAGATGTTTGCCAGCAGCATGTTCTTCTTGCTTTCCGGCACCCCACACAGATAGAGGCTTTGTCTGGAATGTTTGTGATTTTAGCCAGAGCCAGGAATTTTCTGCAACTGAGCAGGGGGAGGAGTTGTGGCTGTTTCCCTCTATTGAGTGGGTAGGGGTTCAGGGGAGGGAGGGAGGGCGGATGGGTGGGTGGGTAATTTCCCGGAATTTTAAGTATTCCACACAATGAATCCTTTTATTTCTTTCTCAGGAACAGGGCGGATACCTGACCAACTCGTGATCCTAGACATGAAGCATGGAGTGGAGGCAAAAAATTACGAAGAGGTATGTCCTACAGTAACAGCCAGAAGAGGCAGCAGTGTGCTGTGCTGTGAGGTTTCTGTGACCTCGCCAGGCCCACAAGCTGTGCTTTGCCCAAAAGGCTGTGGTTTCTTAGCAGTCATGTGACAGCCAGCCATGATCTTACTGATAAAAGAAAGTTGTATTAACAGCCTTGAACAATAATTCTGGCTGTGCTGTCAGCCAAAGGACTGAACTCACTGTCCCACAGAAATGTTGGTTTGGTAAAACACTCAAGCATTTGGCATTAGTTCTCTCTCTCTCTTTTTTTTTTTTTTTTTTGAGACAATCTTGCTTTGTTGCCCATGCTAGAGTGCAGGTGGTATGATCTCAGCTCACTGCAACCTCTGCCTCCCGAGTTCAAGCAATTCTTCTGCCTCCCAAGTTCAAGCGATTCTCCTGCCTCAGCCTCCCGAGTAGCTGGAACTACAGGCACTTGCCACCACGCCTGGCTAATTTTTGTATTTTTAGTAGAGATGAGGTTTCACCATATTGGCCAGGCTGGTCTCCAATTCCTTACCTTGTGATCCCCCTGCCTCAGCCTCCCAAAGTGCCAGGATTACAGATGTGAGCCATTGCACCCGGCCGGCATTAGTTCTGAGTCAGAAACTAAATATGTGTGTCTAGAGAGAGAGAGAGATTGATTTTAAAATGTTTAAAGCTGGAATTCAGTTATTTGTTATTGCCCACGGTTAAGAAAACTGATTTGTTTTTAATTCCTAAGACTTTTTTCCAAAGACCAACAGTTGTTTCTGTCTGTCTGTCTGTCTATCTATCTTATCTATCTATCTAGCTAGCTAGCTAGCTATATCTATCTGTCTATCTATATCTAGGGCATGGATTCAATGCTGTTTAGTCTTCAATAACTGTTCTGTCTTTGGGAAATAACAATAGTCAAAGATAGTTTTCAGTTACAATAATTTCAAACTTAAAAGAGGGCAGGATGGAGGAAGAAGCTGCAGGAGACTAGGAATGGTGATAATAGAAATTTGATGCTGATAGCAAGTATTTATTATAGAGTAATAAAAACTGACATCTATTTGGGTGACAGTGAGATAGAGGTGTACACAGAATGAGGAGAGGGGCAACAGCCTTTTTCATCTCTGCGCGAGACTTTGGGGGCAGCACAAAGGGTTCTTCAAATGAAGGGCACCTTTGAAAAACCACCAGAACTATTTAAGACTAGATAATTGATCTTTACAGAAAGATAAGAGTATTTTTACCCAGCAGAACAGAACCTGAGGGCATGAAGGAGGAGTGGGGTACAGGAAATAGAATTGACTTTTGAAGAATGCGAACCAAGAAAATGAAGGAAAATTGGTTTAAGAGGAAAATTGTCTAGGAATAGTGGAACAGAAGTTGCTCTCTCTTTGGTCAGGACTTTGGAAGGAAAATATCCTAAAATGGAAGAAGACTGGAAGTGACTGGGTAATTTTGCAACAGGAAGTAGCACAATTGCAGCTCATCCTTGTTCAGATCCTCAGTTGAATGAAACTAGGTAGTGTTATTTAGAGGCAGTAAGTAGGAGCAAGTGATACAGTTGTGAATGGGTGACAATTCCCGGTAGAGACTTTAAGTTGTTTGTTTCTGTTTCCAGGATAGTTTAATTTAAATAAAACCAAAAAACCTCTTTATTTGATGAATTTAAGAGTAAATTGAAAAATATTTTTGAAACCTTCATGATTCAGAAGAATCTTAATTATATTTATATAAGATTATGCTCAAGTGCTTTTGTAAGATACAAACACTAGGGAAAATGTTGTCATTATTATGAGGTGGAAGAATAGGTAAAATGATTTCCAGTTTGTGGTTACTGCTTCTGTTCCCCAACTGTGGACCATTCTCAGTTGAATTTGTACTCTGCAGAATTTTACCTGTTTCGGTTTTTTTCTCCAACATGATGGCTGTTGATATTTATTAAATAACAACACATCATTGCCCTATTAGACAGTAGACATAGTTAGTTCACCTGAAAAATCAGAGGTCATTATTGTGGGTTTATATAAAGAATGCTTTAGACACAGTTGTTGTATAGCATTTTAGAACCCCTATACCTCCTGGAATTTCCATCATCCTTGGACTTTATAGACATTAGGAAAGGGGCTTATCTTTCCTGACCTTTTGCTTAATTCAAGAGGGGATTCCCTAGCCCAAAGGAAACTACGGTGCTTCCTTTGCCTGCTTCCTGCTTCAGATGTCTGACATGTCCTAAGCCTTTTTTTACGCATGTAGTTACAACACAGCTCCAAAGTTCTGTTTCTTAACCAAGAAACTCCTCCCCACTACTGTCTTTAACATCTCTCCCCACCCTCCTACCCCTCCCCCCATGCCCCCCAATAGCAAACCAGATTGATACAGAAGAGGAATGGCTATGGCACAGTCCAAAGACCAGCCCTTTCTTCAGTCTGCAGCAAGGCTCCCTTGAATCTTCCTTAGAAATGACTGTTAGCTGGTTGGACGCGGTGGCTCACGCCTGTAATCCCAGCAATTTGGGAGGCCAAGGTGGGCGGATCACCTGAGGTCAGGAGTTCAAGACCAGCCAGACCAACTTGGTGAAAACCCCATCTCTACTAAAAATACAAAAATTAGCTGGGTGTGGTGGCAGGCACCTCTAGTCCCAGCTAGTCAGGAGGCTGAACCAAGAGAATTGCTTGAACCCAGGAGACCAAGGTTGCAGTGAGCCAAGATCTCACCACTGCACTCCAGCCTGTGCAAGAGTGCAGTGAGACTCTATTTCAGAGAGAGAGAGAGAGAGAGAGTAAGTGAGAGAGAGAGAGAGAGAGAGAGAGAGAGAGAGAAAGGGAAAAGAAAAGGAAATAAATGGCCTTTAGTTGTCTCTGAGCTAATATCTGTGACAAGAACACACATCATAGAAGCACTTTGGGCCAGGTATGGTGTAATCCCAGCCTGTAATCTCAGCACTTTGAAAGGCTGAGGTGGGCAGATCACCTGAGGTTAGGAATTCAAGATCAGCCTGACCAACTTGGCGAAAACCCCATCTCTACTGAAAATACAAAAATTAGCCAGGCTTGGTAGCAGGCATCTGTAGTCCCAGCTACTCAGGAGACTGAAGCAAGAGAATCGCTTGAACCCGGGATATGGAGGTTGCAGTGAGCCAAGATCGCACCACTGCACCCCAGCCTCTGTGAGAGTGCAGTGAGACTCCATCTCAAAAAAAAAACAAAAAAAACAAAAAAGAAAGAAATGGCTGTTAGTTTTCTCTGAGCTAATATCTTTGACAAGAACACAGATCATAGAAGCACTGGGTCGGGTGCGGTGTAATCCCAGCATGTAATCCCAGCACTTTGAAAGGCTGAGGTGGACAGATCATCTGAGATCAGGAGTTCGAGACCAGCCTGGCCAACATGGTGAAATCCCATCTCTACTAAAAATACAAAAATTTGCCTGTAATCCCTGCTACTCACGAGGCTGAGGCAGGAGAATCACTTGAACCCGAGAGGTGGAAGTTGCAGTGAGCCAAGATTGCACCACTGCACTCCAGCCTGGGCAACAGAGCAAGACTCTGTCTCAAAAAAAAGAAGCACTTTGTTCCCTTGTTAATCAGAGCACACTGAGCATATGTAGAGTTTTTGAGGCATTTAATTTCAGGCCCTTGAGATAATGGAGAGGCTTTATCTTCAGAGGATTTGGAACCTTTGGCATCAGTATTAAGGGCACACTCTAACTTTCTTCACGGCCAACACATCTCTTCCTCATATTTGTGGACTCATAGTTCTGAAATCCCATGTGGTCTTGTAAAATTGAATAGTAATTGTACCACACTACCTACCTAAATTGTTATTAATGCATGTGAAATTGCTATGTAACACAATACAAATGTAAGGTGATATTATTTGGAAGACAGAATGCTTGTCATATTGTAAAGAAGCATTAAGTCTTGTCGTTTGAAAGAGAAAGAATACCTCTGTCCTCAAAAATAAAGAAAGCACTTTTGATTTTGATTTCCTGTATTGTAGTTTATGAACCTCTGAGCACTGTCTTACTTTTGCCCTTCAGACGGTGTGTCTTTGTAGATTCAGCATGTGAACCAAGCCACTTCTTTTTAGTTTATGATCTGTGGACTAGAGCAGTTGTTTGCAAGGACTTATTGTCTGATTGTGCAGCTGGGAGAATGCAGGCAATTACTGTCCCACAAAGAAGGAGCTATCTGACACATCTTCTAACTCCTGGGCTGTGCATCCCACAAGTAAAATACTGTTTTGCTGAGGGATTCTATTTGTCTGTCATTGCTATCAACAGATATACCAAAAACACAGCTGCCCTGGTTGGAGCAACAGCTGAAGGCTTTCCAAAATTTCTGTTTCTCTGAGTGCTCTCAGGAAAGAAGAACTTTGACCATGTACTAGATCCAAAATCCTTTTCTATCTTTCTTTCTTTTTTTTTTTTGGAGACAGAGTCTCGCTTTGTTGCCCACTGGAGTGCAGTGGCATGATCTCGGCTTACTGCAACCTCTGCCTCCTGGGTTCAAGCAATTCTCCTGCCTCAGCCTCCCAAGCAGCTGGGACTACAGGTGCATGCCAACATGCCCAGCTAAGTTTTGTGTATTTTTAGTAGAGATGGGATTTCAGCATGTTGGCCAGGCTGATCTGGATCTCTTGACCTTGTGATCTGCCCACCTTGGCCTCCCAAAGTGCTGGGATTACAGGCATGAGCCACTGGGCCCAGCCCCCCGCCTCTTTTTTTTTTTTTTTTTTCTCTTTTTGAGGCAGAGTCTCGCTCTGTTGCCCAGGCTCTAATGCAGTGGTCAATCTTGGCTCATTGAAACCTCTGCCTCCCAGATTCAAACAATTCTCCTACCACAGCCTCCCAAGTAGCTGGGATTATAAGTGTGCACCACCACACCCAGCTAATTTTTGTATTTGTAGTAGAGACAGGGTTTCACCATGTTGGCCAGGCTGGTCTCAAACTCCAGACCTCAAGCCATCTGGCCACCTTGGCCTCCCAAAGTGCTGGGATTACAGGCG